ATCCTTTCCCCATTGCTTGTTTTTGTGAGGTTTGTCAAAGATCAGATGGTTGTAGATGTGTGTTGTTGCCTCCGAGGCCTCTGTTCTGTTCCGTTGGTCTGTATCTCTGTTTTGGTACCAGTATCATGCTTAAACTAGAGTAGTCTATCCGCCTGGGTTGTGGTGATTGGATCAAGTCTGGACATGTGACCTCCAGTGGTCCAATCACAATGAAGATGAAGACTTTACCTGGGAATTCTGAGACACAGACTATGGATGTGAATGAGTCAAGATGTAGCTCTAGGAGCTGCTGAACCATCTCAGGACTATGCAAGAAAGCAAGGCTGGAAAGCCAAGAAATTGAGAAAGTAAAATAGACCCTGGGCACATTCTTTGAGCCCCAGGTTCCAGCCATGCCTGAACTGTAGTTGCATGGTCTAACAAATTATCCTTTTTTTTTGCTTAAGCCATTTGAGGTCAGACTTTTGTCACTTGCGACCAAAGGCACCCTTATTGATAATCAATACATTGCCTTACTCTGGCAGATGAGGAAGTTGAGGCTCAGGGGTGGGAGATTACTTGCCCAAGGTAGATTACTTAAGGCAAGTGAAGAGAGGAACTAGCATTCAAACCCAAGGTCTGACTCCAGAGCCTGTGCTCTTGACTATGACAGAATTCGGTGCCTCAGAGTGAACTCTTGGGCTGTATCGACTGAGTATCACATGGGATCTGAAGAAATTCTACCACTGAACCCCAAACAAGGCTCTGGATGAGGACACTGCACTGACTTAAAGATGGAGGCACCTCGGCTGGGTGCAGTGGCTCATGCCTGTAATCCCAGCACTTTGGAAGGCTGAGGTGGGCAGATCACAAGGTCAGGAGTTCGAGATCAACCTGGCCAGCATGGTGAAACTCCGCCTCTACTAAAAATACAAAAATTAGCTGGGCATGGTGGTGGGTGCCTGTAGTTCCAGCTACTCAGAAGGCTGAGGCAGGAGAATCTCTTGAACCAGGGAGTCGGAGGTTGCAGTGAGCCCACATCACACCACTACTCCCTTTGCAAAGCCCAGCTTACTGCATTTGGGAAGTCCCACCCACATCCCTTTCCAAAGCCCCACCCACTTCCCTTGACAGGCCCCGCCCCTTCTCTTTGCTCACCTCCCACTTTCTTTGAAAGGCCACACCCACTTCCCTTGTAAGGCCTCACCCCCTCCCTCAGCTCACCTTTCACATCCTTTGAAAGGTCACACTCGCTTCCCTCACAAGGCCCCACCCACTTCCTTTCCTCACCTTTTACTTCTCTTCAGAGTCCCCACCTACTTCCTTTGAGAATTCCCACCCTTGCCAGGTCCCACCCCCTCCCTCTGCTCACCTTCCACTACCTTAGGCCATGCCCACTTTCTTGCAAGGCCCGGCTCTCCCCTTTCCCCAGTGCACACCTCCCACACTTACAGAGTACAAATTGTTGCAGTTCTTCACTGGCAGTCTGTACTGGACGATCGCTTTTAGGGGCTCCAGCCTGCTCTGTGGAATCTGAAAGAAAGTTCCCTGTGGGCCTCATCTTCCCCTTCCCCTGGGAAACACTAAAGCTGGGTTGGTTATCCTAAGCTCTCTCTAGCAACTCCAGCCCGCCCCCCTCTCTTTTTTTTCTGAGACACCGTCTTGCTCTGTCACCCAGGCTGGAGCGCAGCGGCACAGTGTGGGCTCACTGCAACGTCCGCCTCCCAGGTTCAAGCCATTCTCCCGCCTCAGCCTCCTGAGTAATTGGGATTACAGGCGTGGGCCACTATGCCAGCCAATTTTGTATTTTTAGTAGAGACGAGTTTTCACCATGTTAGCCAGGATGGTCTCGATCTCTTTGACCTCGTGATCCGCCCACCTCGGCCTCCCAAAGTGCTGGGATTACAGGTGTGAGCCACCACACCCAGCCATTTTGTGGTTTTGGTAGAGATGGAGTTTCACTTGGCCAGGCTAGTCTCAAACTCCTGACCTCAGGTGATCTGCCTGCCGTGGCCTCCCAAAAGTGTTGGGATTACAGGCATGAGCCACCACACCCAGCCCAAAACATGTTTTAAAAGTTAGCCCAATGTGGTGGTACATGCCTACGTAGTCCCAGCTACTGAGAGGGCTGAGGTGGAAGGATTAGTTGAGACCAGGAGTTGAAGGCTACAGTGAGCTATGATCATGGCATTGCACTCCAGGCTGGGGAACAGAGGGAGACCCTGTCTCAAAATTTAAAAAAAAAGGAGAATGAGTATTAAACTAAGTTAGTAAGAATTGGAAATCAAACTCCTCCACTTCACTCTGCTCCTCCAAAGATCAGCTTAACCTCATATACTAATGAAGTCATGGAGGACTCTTTCTGACCCGATGCATGGCCCTATTTTATCATTAGAATCTACCTGGGAAGCCGGGCGCAGTGGCTAACGCCTGTAATCCCAGCACTTTGGGAGGCCGAGGCGGGTGGATCACGAGGTCAAGAGATCGAGACCATCCCGGTCAACATGGTGAAACCCCGTCTCTACTAAAGCTACAAAACATTAGCTGGGCATGGTGGCGCGTGCCTGTAATCCCAGCTACTCAGGAGGCTGAGGCAGGAGAATTGCCTGAACCCAGGAGGCGGAGGTTGCGGTGAGCCGAGATCG